ATTCCAAATCTACCGGTTCCAAATTTAGAAAATACATTAGAAAAATTTAAGTTATGGGTTAAACCTTTGATTAGTAAAGTAGAATATAAAAAACTTGAAGAATTTATTAAAATAGAAGATTATTCAATTTTACAAAACCATTTATTATTAAAAGCCAAAGATAAAAATAGTAGTTGAATTATTGATTGATGAATTGATAGCTATTTATTGTCAAGAGGGCCAATCGCTTGTGAAGTTGGAGCTAGTATGGCATATAAACAAGAAAGTATTTCAATACTCGACCCTCTTTCTAAAGTTGCAGTTTTAACAAATTTATTAGCCAAACAATACATAAAATTCAAAAATGGCGAATTTCAATTTGAAGAAATAAAAGATCAAAAAATCTCTCTAGATCAATTCAATGGTTTTTTTAGTAGTCATAGGATTCCCCAATTAAAAAAAGATAAATATTACATCAATAGTAATTTCTCTACTCATATTCTTTTTATTTATAAAAACAATTTGTTTTTAGTAAAAGTTATTGAAAATAAGAAAGTTATTAATACTAAAACAATATATAACACTTTAAAACAAATTGTTGAATCAACTATTAATATAAAAAAAATGAATCTTAATCTTGTATCTTGCGCTATCAATCGTGATGATGCATATAAAACATTAAAGACACTATTAAATAACAATAACAATAGCTATTGATATGAAAAGGTTATTAATAGTATTTTTGCTATAGCCTTAGATGAGAAATTTAAAAATGATTCTATTAGTCATACTCTTTATAATTCTTTTTTACCAACTAATCAAAATGGTCTAAATCGGTGGTTTGGAAATTGTTTGACTCTTGTTGTTACAAATAGTCCTATTGTTTCAGTTTTAATGGAGCATACATATTTTGATGGAGCAATATTAAATTACTTATTAGAAAAAATGGAAATGGATGTTAATAATAGTATTGATGAACTAAATTCAAAATCAATGCAGTTAACTGATAGTCAAGAAATTGAATTTGATTTATTAGACCAAACAAAAAATTTAGATATTTATTACAAAAATTATCAAGCATATGTTAAAAAATTGCAATATAAAGAATATACTAATCCAAACATTAATCGAGCTTGATTAAAAAGTAAGGGGATTAAAAGCGTAGATGCTTTTTTTCATTTAGCTTTACAAATTGCACAATTTAGAACATTTAATAAACTAAGAAATACTTATATAGCAGTGGATCTACGAAATTTTTTTAGAGGTAGAACTGAATGTGTTCGTCCAATTACCCAAACAAGCTTAGACTTAGTGAAAAAAATTGTTAATAAAAAATTAAATAATATCGATTTTCAAAAGAAATTTAATACTTTTGAAAATGAACATCACAATAGAATTAAAGAATGTAAAAAAGGCTTAGGTCTTAATAGGCATTTGTTTGGCTTATATAAAGCAGCTAAAGAATTAAAATTAGAGTTTCAAATATTTAAAACAAAGGCGTTTGAAAAAATTAATGAAAACTTTCTTTCAACTAGCTCTATTTTATCCAATTTATTAAAAGGTTTTTTCTTTTGACCTGTTGAAAAAGATGGGTTTGGAATCTCTTACTATGTAGGAGAAAAAATATTTTTTATTATAACAAGTTGAAAACACAATAGACATTTAAAAGAGATGACAAAAAACTTTGATTGAGCTATTAAACAAATAACAAGGTTTTTATAAACCTAAAACTACTTAATTCTTTCTACTAAAAAATTAATTTTCATTTTTTAATATGATTTTTTTGGTTTGTCTTCTAATATAATTTTAATTATGTTAAAAAAACAAGGAATGACATTTTGAATTGCTAGCTTATTAATAATTTTAATCAGTATTCTAGCATTGTCTATGCCATCTAAATTTGTTGGCATAATCAATTTGATAAAAAATAAATCATCAGAAAAACTATCTTTATTTTTTTTAATTACACCCCTAATTTTTTTGATAATTCTTTTGTATATTGCTTTTTCAAAATGAGGTAGAAGAAGACTTGGTGGAGAAAAAATAAAACCTGAATATCGTACTTTCACTTGAATAGCAATGCTTTTTACCGCAGGAGTGGGGGTAGGAACATTAACTTTTGGAGTTGCTGAACCTATTTTTCATATCACAGGTTCCCCAATGAATAAAATAGTAGATAAATTAAAGGATGTTGATTTAACTACTTTAAATGAAACACAAAAACAAAGTTTAAATGATTTAACTAACTCATTTTCAAAAGCTATGGAATTATCTGTTTGAGATTGGGGGTTACCTGCTATGGCAATTTATAGCATTTCAGGGTTAGTAGTTGGTTGATTTGCTTTCAACAAAAAGTACAAACAATCATTTTTACCAGGCAGTGTAATAGAGAATGGGTTCAATAGTAAGTATTCTAAATACTTAGGAAATTTAACAAACATAATCGCTGCTATAGCTGCAGTTTTTACAGTTGCTGCTTCTTTAGCTATTGGCGGAAATAATATGGTTGAATCAGTAAGGTTAGCTTATTTTTCAAAACATAGTTGGGATCATCAATGACTTGTTAAAGGGTTGTCACTAGGATTTTTAGCACTAATTGGTCTCGTTTACATATTGGGTGCTCTCACACCATTGAAAAAAGGTATGGCTAAAATGGGAAACATTACTATGTATGCAGGAATAGGGCTAATGTTTTTTGTTTTCATAATCGGCCCTACTATGTATTTTTCGAAACAAATGGTAGAATCAATGAAATTTCTAGTAACTGGTTTGCAAAACCATTTTGATACAAAATTATTTGACATTTCTAAAAGCGATACTTCTTGAGTTAATTGACTAAATAATTGACCAAATACTTATATTCTTTGATGAATATCATGAACTCCATTTATGTCAGTGTTTTTGGCTAAAATTTCTAAAGGTCGTACATTAAAAGAATATTGTTTGGCCACAATTTTTATTCCTGCTATTTTTATGGCGATTTGATTTAGTATTTTTTGGGGGGTTAGGTTTTATTTCTAAATTAAATGGAGATTCTGATATTTTTGACCAAGTCGCTAAAAATGGCTCTGTTGATGGGCGCTTTTTTTCAATTACTAAGTAAGTTTCCATTATTACCTATTTTAGGAGGATTAACTTTATTTTTGTTTGTTTTTTTTATTGCCACACCACAGGAACAGGAACTTCGGCCTCAGTCTCAATTGCAACAATAGTTTCAAAAGATGGTCAAGAAAAACCAAAAAAATATAATATATTGCTTTGAGCCCTAGCAATGTTAGCTATAGCTATAGCTTTAATTTTAGCTTCAGGGTGAGAAAATGGTAAATTAACAGGTTTTGATGGAATTAAAAACACTGCTGTCACTTTGGGAATTATTTATATTTTTATTTTATATATTCAGATTATGGCTATGTTCAAATCTATGAAAAATGAAAAAAAGCAAATTGAAGAAAGACAAATAAAATATGAAACTATTGAAGTAATTCCAAACAAAAAAACTAAATTTAAACAATTGAGAAAAAAAATCATACTTTATAAAGTTGTTTGATTAACCTTCTTAATTTTGTTTACAGTTTTGTGTCTAAGAGGAATTTTTTCTAATACAAAAGGTTGAGAAATAAACCATATGTATAAAAATGATGTTTCTTTTATTGAACAAATCATTGGTGGATTCTTATTGATATGAGTTATATTGCAAATATTAAATATTAGTTATTTTCTAAATAACCAATTTATCCCTAAAACCATTAAAATAATGCGATTTTATAACTATATTTGTTTAGATATATTTAGCATGGTTTTATTTAATAATTTATTAACCAATCAAATAGAAATAGGCCAATTTAATGATGAATTAAAAATTAGTTTAATGTCACCGATAGAATTAGAACAATATTTACAATCATTAAAAAAACATAATTAGGTTAAAGGTGAAATAACTTTTTAATTAAGAAAGCAACTAGGCGCTTTTTACTTTTTTTTATCTTTACATTATACATGGAGCAAAAGGGTGTTGTCCCAATGTTGTCCCAATCAGAAAAAAGCAAAATTTTTAATTTATTTAAAATAGGATTTGAGAAAAATATTTTGACATATCCTAAGAATCTAATTAATATTATTAAGGATTTTTTAAATTAAAAAATTTAAATTTAGTATTTTGTTTATTAAAAGTATTTATCGTATATCTTTTTATTTGTCTCCATTGATAATTGTAAATATCTAAAAGTTGTTTCAACTTTAGAATGACCTAATTGCATCATCACCATTTTGGGGTTAGCCCCTTTTAGTAGTAGGTGTGTAGCATGAGATCTTCTAATACTATGGGGCGTAAAATTTTTGCCTAAGATTTGTTTAACTCATAATCTTAAAGTTTTTGTACTAATATTTAAATTAATTATTTTTTTAGTTATCTCATTATTATGAAAAACTTGACGCTTTTTGTTTCCTTTGCCATTAACGATAATAATTTTTTTGTCAACAAAACTTATTTCATTTAGCTCACAAGCCCTAAGGCCTGTTTCAAATAAAAAACGTACAATTAATTTTTTATTAATTAATTGAGAAGAATCGTTTTCATTGATATTAGTTTTTTTAATTAAATAGTCTTTTTTAAATACTAACATATATTTCATTGGTATTTGAGGAAGTTTTAACTTTTTTAATTGCTCTATTTTTTTATTTTTAGACCAAGTAAAATAAGAGCATAATGTGTTGTAGTGTAACCAAGCGGTGTTGGGAGAATCAAAATGATTTTTGATTTTATTTCTTAAAATACGTATATCATCTAGACTATCTTTATACTTATTTAAGACACTATAATAAGTGTTTATTGTATTTATTGAATAATGGTTGTTTTTTAGATATTTTATATATTTATTAATCATAAGTGTTATAAAAAATATGATTTTATTTGTTATTTTGTTTTCTTAAAACTAATAAATGAAAAAGGCTTTGTTAAAAATACTGAATTGGCAAAATTTACAAAATCTACAATTCAAACAATTATTTCTGATATTAGTGAAATGGATAAAGAAAAAAAACTAATTAAAGTTTATGGTGGAGGAAAATCGCTTTTGTTATCTTTAGAAAATACAAGAGAGCATTGGGAAGAAGAAAAAGATAAAATAAATATTAATTTAAAAAATCAAATAGCTAGAGAAGCTATTAATTTAATTAAAGATGGAGATTTAATATATTTAGATATCGGTACCACTACCAAACAAATGATTAAATATTTAAATATATACAACAAAAATCTTTCAATTATTACAAATGGTTATTCAATAGCTCTTGAATTAATTGAACAAGATATAGATGTATGTTTATTAGGAGGAAAATTGATACCTAGTACTCATGCAATAGTTGGTGAATTATCGTTGAAATTTGTTGATAATTTTTATTTTGATAAAGCATTTATAGGGATGAATAATTTTATTGACAATCATTTTTATACAACTAATATTGAAGAAGCGATATTAAAAGAAAAAATTATTCAAAATTCTAAAAGATATTTCATTCTAATGGATTCTTCTAAATTCGATAAAAAAAATAAGATTAAAGTTGAGTTAAAAGGTAAACAGACTTTAATTAGTGATGAAATGCCAAACAATTTTAATGGTGAATTTATTAAAGCTCAATACAAATAATAATTTTTAAGGAAAACAAATGGAAAATAAAAATTTAATGTTAATTGAATCAATTTTAAAACCATTAAATTATAAAATTGATAATATCAAAAAATATTTATAATAATGCCTAACTTTTAAAAATAATAAATTAGTCAAAATAGAAGATTTAAAAAAGATAAAAGAAATTTATGGAGCTATTTGGTCTAATAATGAATTACAAATTATTATTGGTTCAAATGCATCAACTTACTAGTTTATTAAAAGAAAAATTAAATAATTCAAATAATAAAATAAAGTTTAAAGTTAAAAACATAACTTCTATTATTTCAGGAATTTTTGGACCATTAATTCCCTTTTTGATTGGTGTTGGGTTACTTATGGCCTTGCATAATATTTTAATTAAAACAGGTTTAATTAATAACATAAAAGAAAATATGCATTATGGCTTAGATTACAATGCTTTTGATCTTATTTTATATGTTTTGGCTAATAATGGATTTAAATTAATGGGTGTTTTAGCACTTTGATCAACTACTAAATATTTTTGGGAAATATTTATTGAACTTTGCTAGGGTTAATAATGATATTCATTAATTCCAAAAAGAAAAAAAGAAAAATAGAATTGAAATTATCAAAATTTGAAATTATCAAAATTATGATCAAACCTTTTTATTCTAATATTTTAATTTTTGTGATTATAGGCATATTTATTAGTTTTATTTCCAAAATAATTCAAAAATTATTTCCTACATAAATTTTCTATTAAATCCAATTTTAACCTTATTATTAGGTAGTTTATTAGCATTTTTTGTTTTTGGTCCAATTATTGGTTTTTTAGAAAATATTATGTTAAAAGTTTTTAATTTTTTTATGACATTACCATTTGGATTAGGTGGATTAATAGTTGGTTTAACTTGAAACCACTAGTTGTTCTAATAGTGCACAATGTTTTGTTTTTTACAGCTATAGTGATATGGTTGTAAATAATAGATCATCATTATTTTTAGCAGCTGCTTTTGCAGCAGCTTGAGCTCAAATGGGAGCAACTATAGGAGTTGGATTAAAAGAAAAAACTAAAATAGTAAAATCAAGTGCTTTTTCAGCTGCTATTCCTGGAATTATTTCAGGTCCAACTGAGTCTTGTATTTATGCTATTAATTTACCAAGAAAATTGCCTTTTATTCTTGGTACTTTAATTGGTGGGTTAGGTGGTTTTATGATTGCTATTTTTAATGTAAAACTTGATAATTTAGCAGGGCTAAGAGGAATTATAGGTTTTTTAGCTTATGATCAAAGTTTTTGATATGCTATTTCTATTAACTTAACTACCTTTTTTTATTAAGCATTTTAGTTATTTATTTTTTTTGAAAGCCAAAAAATACAAAATAATTTTTATTAAAATATAATACATATTTAAGATTTGTATATTTAAAAAAATGTTTAATAAAATTTACATTGTTTCTTTGAGTCCTAGTTTAGATTATGTTTTATATTTTGATGAATTAAAAATAAATCAAACTAATCGGCCTAAAAAAATAGATTTATACCCTGCTGGCAAAGGGATACATATTGCCATGTTATTAAATAATTTAAATATAAAAAATAAATCTCTAATTTTTTCAAATGGAAATTTTGAGAATTTTTTTTATCAAGAATTAGATAAATTAAAAATCGATTATAAAAAATTCAAATCAACTAATAATATAAGAATTAATCTTAAATTAATTGATTATTATCAAACTGAATGTTCTGTAATGGCTCCTAATATTTCGTTAAATGAATTAGAAAAATTTAAAAATTATTTAAAAAATACATTAACTAATAATGATTTAATAATTTTATCTGGTAATATTCCTGATAAAGCAAATGCTAATATATATCAAGAAATAATTAAAATATCTAATTCTTGTAAAGCAATCACTATTGTTGATACTTTTGGTTTACCATTAAATTTAGCTATTTTAGAAAAACCATTTTTAATTAAACCTAATTTAGAAGAGCTTATGATAACTACTAACTCAAAATTACTAAATAATAATGATATAAAAAAAGCTGGGTTATCTTTAATCAAAAAAGGAGCTCAAAATGTTTTGATTTCTCTTGGTAAAGATGGGGCAATTTTTGTAAATAAAAATGTTGCATTTAAATGTCAAATTGGCAAATGAAACAAAAAAATAATTAATGTTGCTGGCGCAGGAGATAGTATGTTGGCTGGTTTTGTTTTTAAATATAATGAAACTAAAAATTTTGAATTAGCAACTAAATATGCAATTATTTGTGGTGCTGCCACTTGTTATTCACCAAGAATAGCTAATAAAAAACTAATAGATGAGTTAAGTCAAACTATAGATGATTTACAAATTGAATATATATAAAATCTAATTTATAAAATTAAATTCTAATTATTGTTGATTAAAAAATCTAGAACAAAAAAAATATGTTAAAAGTGCTTTTTTATATATTCATCTAGTTGTCCTTCATTTAAAATAGGATCAAAGAATTGAACATTATGATAATCTCTTATTTGCAAAGATTTATTAATAGTATCAAACAACAACTTACAATCATTATTTTCTTTAATCATTTTATTTAATGTTAGCCAATCTATTTGATTTCTAAACTTAGCATAAACTTTAATTTCGCTTTGTTGTGGTTCTTTTTTGTCTAATTTGATAATACCTAAGCCAAATCTTTCATTTAATCTCATTAATTCTTCCATAAGGTCTTCATCATCATCTAAATCAGCTGTCACTAAATAACCATAATTGGCTCATGAAGAATTAGATACTGCTTGAAAGTAGGATTCTCTTAAATTAGCAAAATTTAAATCTTTTTTTATTTCAAATGAATATAGTTTTAAATTTATTTGATTAATATTACTTTGAAAATCTAAAACGGTGTTTTCCATTTTTGAAAAAGGTAATCAAACTCCTATCATATCAGGATGAAGTCATTTGTTAGATCCTTTTGTTTTTTGTTTAGATGAACTATGATTAATAGTTTTCGTTTTTAAGTATCCAAAAAATTGTGTGTTAGCGAAAATTGTTAATATAGGATGTAGATCTTTTTCACTAAATTTTTCTCTTCATTTGCCAATTTTTTTGTAGAATCTCTATTAGTTTCATTTAATCTATATAGGTTGCTTAATTCCTTTAATCCAAATTTTGTAGGATGTTTTGAGAAAATATAAAAATTACTATCATCGTGTTTTTTTATATCTACATATATTATTGCGGATATAGTAAATCAAGGAGTATTACCATAAGATTTACCTTTTTCACGTAAATTTTGATCTATATACTCTCATATTTCAATATGACTCATTGGAGTTTTAGTTTTTAATAAAACTTCTTTAATTAATTCTAATCACGATTTATTTTTGCTCATTCTACTATTAAATTATATACAGAACAGTAACAATAATAACTGTTTTGTTTTACTTGATTTGAATGTAAAATTAAATGATTAAAAGAATGCCAATTATTCAATTTTAAACATCTATTTTAATTTTTTACATTAATGGCCAGTCTATTTATATTATATTTATATGTATAAAGAATTGGAAATATTACAATACTAAAATCATACAATCAACCCCAACTCATCAATTAATAGTTTGTTAAAGTGAAACTCCAGTTTTTATAATAAAATTAATAACTATAAAATAAATGAAAAAAACATATTAATTGAAAGTTATACTTTAAATTTAATTGAAAACTATACATAAGCTTTTTATCTCAACTTTTATTTCCAACTATTTGAATTTTGATTAGATCAAACATAATAACTTCTTATAAAAGATGTAACACTTTTTCCGCTCGTTGAATCAGAATATGCTGTTATTTTTTTAGATGCATTTGTTGTCGGATTAATTTATCCTATTTACTCTTTTATAGGAAAAATTAAAAATAATGATGATAAAACTTTAAACAAAGTAAGAGTAACTTGACTAACTTGTGGTTTATTCTATTTACTAGTAATAATAATACTCTCACTAGAACTAAAAGATTTGTTACAAATAATATACATAAAAGATAAAGAATATATAACTCAAAAGGTTTTCTTTCAATTACAACTATGAGCAAATTATTTTGAATTTTTAATAAAAATTGGAATTATTTTTTTGTTAGCTATTTCTAGAAATAGAAAATTTTGGTTTTTGCTTGTATTTAGACTCCTTTTTGGTCTAATCTTTGATTTTGTTTTTTCTAATCAAAAGATATTTTCAAATATTTATATAGGGATTGGTTTAAGCAGCTTGCTAAACAATATAATTATCTTTAGTGCTATTGTTTTAATGATTGGAAATTTTTTTGGTTTTAAAAGATTTTTTAGTCTTTCTAATTGAAATAAGAATAAATTTGTTTTTTTATTTAAACATAAATGAAAAAAGACAATAATTACTTTTTCGGAAAAATTTATAAACCAAGTTTTTTACTTATGAGTTATATTAAGAAATGTTAATATGTTAGAAAAAGCTGAAGCATATTGATTAACTAATAAAATTATCTTTAGCTTAGTTTTAGTTTTAACCCTTAGTTTAATTGAGATATATAAAGTAGAAGTTAAAAATTATTTTGGTTTAATGAATAATAGAAAACATCTAAATAGAAAAATAATTAAATATGGATGCTGAAGTCTTGTTTTTTTTGCTATTAGTTTTTTAATTATATTTTTTAGTTGAAAAACATTAATATTATTTTTAACTAATAATAATTATGATTTATATCGTCAATCTTTTTCTATATTAAAAATAATTACTCCATTTTTTATCTTTTATATACTAAGTAGTATTTTAGATGGCTTTTTTATTAGTAAAGGCAAAATGATTTATATGCTAATTGAATCGATAATTGTCAATTTTGGTTTTTATAGTGGTTTCTATTTATTGATATATTATGGAGTTATTCAACATCAATTAGAGTCTTATATTATTTTTTTTGGTCTATCTTTTATAATAGGTTTTATAATAAACTTGGTTTTGTATATATATTTTATGAAACAAAAAACCAAAAATA